GGGGGGTCCTTCCTTCCCGCTCATTGCTCGATCCCACAGTTCACGAGCATCTAAAAAAAATGGACCACTATTGCATTTGCAGACATCTTGGGCATATTCCTTATTACAAACGTTATTTCAGCTCGAGTCGGCCCGGATATCTGACCTTGAGAAAGGTTATTCTGCTTTTGCATAGAGAGTTGTCTGTGTGCCCTTACGGGATCGCAAACGAGCTCTTCCTAAGGACATGGCTAACAGTGAAAGCGACTCCAGCTGCCGGAACAATCGGAAACTGGAATATTATGTAGAAGTTTCCCACTAACCGCTCAAAGGCGTCCAGGTCGTCAATGAATGTGGTCCTAGAGCTGTTCGATGTTCGCGATGTCTTGGGGCTGTCGGATATTTGCGACATCCAAGTGCCACATGTACATGTACTCTGTCCACTTGAAGTAGTGATTGGAACTGATGAGAAGTGCACCCCACAGCAGTGAAAGATTTTGAAAAAAGGGCTGGTGCACCGATTGGCCGTATCTTTTCACTTACGGTGCAAATCCAAGTTATTGGATGTTCTCCAGTCACAGTGGATAAGGGAGGTGAAGGTAAAATAAGAAACATAACAGAGGGCACTCTTATCCTGCTCGCCGATCGGTACACCATGGTGGGGTGGTCCAGGATAACATAGTGCATTGATTCAAATATTTTCACCGGGTTCAATCACTAACTTGAAGGATGAGGAACGTTTTTACCTTCGTTTTCTACTCTCGCACTTAAAGGAAGATAAGAGCTTTAGGGATCTTTACACGGTTAACCTTAATGGCGTAGATGTGGTGCACGACACCTACAAGCAGGCTTGCCTTGCTCTTGACTTGCTCGAGGACGATAATGAGTCACATCAATGCCTTCAGGGAGATACCGCACTCCAGATTGCATGAAGCTTGCGCCGCCTATTAGCTATGATATCGACAGCGTGTACTCTAGCCGAACCAGAACAGCTGTGAGGCCACTTCGCCACTAATGTCTCGGACGACTATCTGTCCAGAGATCAAATCAATCCCGACATAACGCATGGCCAAGACCTTGTTGAATAAGCCAAAAGGGAAGCTCTTGCAGACATCAACGACATCTTGATTAGCATGGGCTGCAGCTTGGAAGTTTTCAACACACTGCCGCAGCAGCTCAACAAGCCCGTCAATGTCAATCAGGACTTGAAACAAGATGAAGGCGAGCTTGCAAATCCCACGCAATTAGCGCAGGATGATATCCTCCTTCTTAATGCGGACCAACGTAGAGCTTTCGACGCGATCATGGATGTCATCCAAGGTCAAGGTGAGTAGAGGATGTTCTTTATTGATGGATCAGGAGATACTGGAAAGTCATTTCTCTACAACACCCTGATTGCCGATATTGAAGGATGCCGCAGGAAACAAGCCGTCGTCACTGCGTCGTCTGGGATTGCCACATTAATCTTGAGTGGAGCTCGCACTGCTCATTCAACCTTCAAGATCCTTATAGCACAGTCAGCTTGCGCTGGCATATTCATGGGTTCATAAGCCCTGATCGCCGTTAGTTGGTACCCAAAGGAGTCTTCCTCCCGACGTGGCCTGTTGCTTGCGAATCGTCAAATTATCCGCAGTCCATAGTCATCAAAAAATTCAGCCCTCCCAGCTTCTCCATCACATCGAGCTTCGTCCGTCCCAGGTAGCTGTCCTTGACTCGGTCGTCCGCAACTCTGTAGATCTCCTTCACGTTCAATGCGCGTCTCGGTATCAGGGTTGGACTATAAAATCACTGTTGCTACGTCTGTGCTCCTCAACACAGTTGCGTCCCCAGGCGCGTTTGCACACAGCAGTGATCCCTTGAGCCTTCTCCTAGTCAACTGTCAACTTGCACCTCTGGTTCCAGATCCCTGTCAGACCGATCGATTCGATGGCGCAGCTTCATCCATCCCTTGAAGTTCCGGTACACTCGCTCGTCCGCTGCTTGAAGAGTCCCCGCCACATTTGGCGCGTTGCCTTGTCGTTAAGTCAGGTCAGAGAAATCATCACTACTACGTGGGTGACCCTCAATACTCGTGCGTCTCCGAACGCATTTGCTCATAGAAGTGATTCCTACTAACTTTTCCCAAGCGACAGTGACTTCGCGCCACCGCCTGTTCCAGAGTGCCGTCCGACCAAATTCCTCGATCCTCGAAACAAACTTGATAGCCACGTATGTCGCCACAAACGTCATCGTCTTGAAAAGTGCTTTCCAGACTTTGATCAACCCCGCCAGCACTAGACCTCGATACAGCTCGTCTACCGTCCAAGGCGTTTCCCCCTCGTCTTGCACTTTCTCGTCTTCACTATCATAGCCCATCTACTCCTCGCGTCGTCTCCGCCTCAAGATTCTTTTTTTTTTTTTTAAAAAAAATTAACCTTAATCCACTCGTCTATCCAGCAGAGATTCCACATTCGCACGTGTCCGCTGCGCGGTAGTTAAAAAAAAACGCGCTAATTCTTTCGCAGAAACCGCGCCTCCAGGCGCAGTTCTCCACAACGAGCGAGCTATGACCCTCGATGCATCGTAAAGTAATACCAAGTCTGATGGAGGTGTAGCCAAGTGGTCCAAAGCGCCGCATACTCGATTTAAAATCAAATTTTCATGCGGTCTACTTCGGTAGTCGTGGGTTCGAATCCCTCCACCTCCTTTTTTTGCGCCCCCAGGGATGTGTTGAAGCATCGTCTGCGGCGTCAGTAGCTGTCAATAGTGTGCTGTGTACAAGATGCGTCAAACGCAAGCATATCTGCTACTACAGACACCCCTGTTTCGGCGCCATCTTGGATGTCTTGAGCTCTTTCGACATTAAGATTTCGTAGGCTGCGCCTTGCGCCAGATCCCTGGAGTCAAACATCCTGTGGGTAATACTGTCAGCTGTGTGGAGACAGAGGCAAGGATAGCGCTCATACTTGTAGATAGTGGACTATACGTCGACACAATGAATGCGGTGACGATATTACGGCGCCTCAAAGCCCAGCTGTCGGCTAGAAGTGCCTTTTTTTTTTGCCTTTTTGCCAACAGATAGTGAGTACATTCGACGCCGTAGCACTCGAATGAAAGGATTTCCAACTACGATATCTGTCGCAACCAGTGCTGCCTACGAAGCAGAAGATTTGTGTGATGGATCGGCCATAATACAGGCTACACATTTTGGAGTAGAAGGAGGTTACTATTCTGATTTTGTATTTACGCTGCTCCTCGAACTTCGAGAGCTTCATCAGCCGCCACGACATGGAGATAGGCTATCTACAATATGTCATTTGTTCGAGCCTCGGATATAGGGGTGAACCTAGGCTAAATATACCCTCGACTGAGGGCTCTTACTCTGCTGCATGTGCAGATAGAATCCTCGGTCTTTCCAACGATCCTTGCAAGCCGGATCGCGTAAGGCACGGATCCGGAGACAATCTTTGCGGAGCGTAAAGTCCTTCATCTACTTTCCATCGCGTCTTCAGAAATAACTGCTATAACACACCCCACTCTGGCAATAGCAACGGCGGTGACGGCTGCGACAAGCGCTTTCGTTACTCCCTGCCGACTGATGCAAACATCAAGAGCAGACACAGGACCCGGCAGGGACAGGGAGAGAAAGACGAATGGTGCGGACGAGGATATCCTTCAATAGACGAAGAAGAGGAAACCAAGGCCAGGAATTTGAACAGGGCGCTGCACTGGTTCCACTGCTATACAGAAGCTTCAGGTAATCGAACTGACAAGCATTTCCTAGCACTTGTACATTGGTTACAGGGACTAACTCTAGCGCGCCATTCCCGCGCCGCAGGGGGTAATATTTTACTAAGCCCATAGTTGTGCGGCATATTTCTTGATTGCTCCGTAGTAACATATCATGGCTGTGAGCATGACTAGGGCACTATCCTTTTCTAGAGACTATCTATACGTCTACGTTACGTGGCTGTCTTGACCTGCCCCCCCTGCCGATGGCTATGTGCATGCGAGAAATTGCAATATATCTTGGACCGTTTTACTTTCATTTTTGTATGCGAGGTGAGTGTCCCACGGATATGTCATGCAAGGTACTTTTTCCTCCATGTGGTCGATGCTGTCGTGGGGATGTATTTGTCGTTGATGACTCTCTGGTTTGTGCTGCGGTTGTAGCTGTTGAAGCTACGCATACACTCTTCGCTGTGTTCATCGTTCAGGTATGTCGCGTTTTCACCACAGCCTCCATTGGATCAAGTGGGTAAATGACGAAAGCCCTCAACAATGACGAGCCACGAGACACGTTGCCAAGCCGTACTTCTCCTCTCTTTTCTTTCTTACTTCCCGCCGTCTACAAGCTATCCACGGGAGAAGATACCCTGTAGCGCTCTCAGAGAGAAAAGGAAAGGGGGGTAATTATAGTAGGAACAGCAGTTGACGACCTGAAATTGCATTCATGATTACAGGCGCGGGAGAGTTATGAGGTGATTCAGTCTGTGACAGCTAGATGCAAGGCGCGACGTGGAAGCGGAGCAGAAGATCAAGACTAGCGGTTTTTCCATAGTGGGTTTCTCTGTAGCCGCAGGCGGCGACCCGGGACCCTCGCTCCAAACGACGTGCACGCATACCGTTACATCCCCTCTTTCAGCACCCGCTCAATTTGCCTTGTCCTACCACCCTCTACTTGCTCATTTACTGCAGGCTGGCATTGCCAGAACGGCATTCCTTGCAGGTGTAGCCTGGCTGTAGTAGAGGAGGTACTGATGTACTGCACGTGTGTGCAATTGTCGGCTTTCTTGGTACTCTGACGCTCGTTCTCCTTTGCGCTCCTCTTGCCGAGAATGTTATTCGAGGTAGTCCAGGGAAAAGTGTGCCACTGGTAAACTATCTTTAGCGGTATGTAAGCTGTGCCAACCCGGTGCAGCCGTTAGGAATATAGCTCGTGGTTTGTACTTTTTTTGAACCACTAGCATCGCTACATTTTCCTCTGTCTCTCCCTCTGGATCCCAAAAGCAGGGGATAATGGAAAGAGGGGGAGAGGAAGGCTCTCTTTCCTTGTGCTTACTTTACCCAGAAACGAACAATCGCTAGATTAGATTGGGCGAGCAGTTGGACTGGCAATTGGAGAGAAGAGGGAGGGAGGGAGGAGGAGGAAAGTGTCTCGTCGACTTTTTCTAGTCTCCAATATCTGCAGCCATCGGGCATCTTGCCACTCCTCGGTAAATGTGGGCGGGTCAGTATGAGCTCTCGAAATGAAATAACGGCGTAATATGCGCTAATCAGGGGGAAGGGAAGCTTCGATTTTATTTGCTGCAGGTACCATTGTATGATGAGTAGATGGCCTCGACTCGAAACCCTGGCTGCAGCCCGTGCCATGTCCTCACGCTCATGCCGGGCTTGGTCGTACCATCCCGCCTGCTCACCATGCCACCGACCCTGTAAACATGGTCCTAGACCACCCAGATCGCATTTTACCAGGGAGCAAACCAAACTGCCCTGCTCTGTGCTCACCCCGCCGTTGGGTTTTGCTTATCCTATCGCTTGGGCAAATGGCCGTTTGTCGTTGTGGGAGCTTAACCCTGTCCACCGGCCCCGCTCCATCTCCATGATCTTATAAAAGAGAGCCAGGGTCTGGCCTTTCCCTCTCTCTTCTATCCCCAGACCTCCACTTCCATCTTGCTTCTCTCTCACTTCTCTCTCTGCATCTTCATACCACTCCCCCACAGCTTCAACAAGCGTCCCAGACACGAACCCATCCTTGCCAGCCTGCACATTCCCCTCCCCCTTCCCCCCATCTCTCTTCAACCATCATGAAGTACATCTCTCTCCTCGTCGTCGCCTGCTTGGCTCTGTCGACCTCCTCCACCACTGATGCCGCTGCCCCCTTCATCACCAACTCGTTCGGCACTACCGCCGTCCCCGGCTCGTACATCGTCATGCTCAAGGACAACTACACCATCGAGGGCATCGTGCCAAAGTTCAACTCGATGGCCTCGCGCCAGAATGCTCGCGGCGGCCGTAAGCCCACTATCAACCACAAGTTCAACTCCATGCCCGGTTTCACCGTCACGGGCACACGCGCTACACTGACTGAGCTCCAGAACATGGATGAGGTCGAGTACGTTGAGCAGGATGCCATTGTCACGATCCAGGGCACCCAGACGAATCCTCCCTCCTGGGGCCTGGGACGCGTCTCGCAGCAGGGTCCAGTTGCGAACGCCAAGACCTCATACCTGTTCCCCAACACAGCGGGTGCTGGTGTTACCGCGTATGTTATCGACACCGGTATCAACACTGCTCACACTGACTTTGGCGGCCGCGCCAAGATGGGCGCCAACTTTGTGCAGGGCTCACCCAACACGGACGAGAACGGCCACGGCACTCACGTCTCGGGCACCATTGGTGGTGCGACCTACGGTGTTGCCAAGAAGGTCAACCTGGTTGGTGTCAAGGTTTTGAACGCCCAGGGCTCCGGCGCGACCTCGGGTATTGTGTCTGCCATGGACTGGGTGGTCACCAACAGCAAGGGCAAGAAGGCCGTTGTCAACATGTCGCTCGGCGGTGGCGCCTCTCGCGCGCTGAACGATGCTACTGGTCGCCTGTTCAAGGCCAACGTTCCTGTGATCGTCGCTGCTGGCAACGACGCTAACCAGGACGCTTGCACCGGTTCCCCCTCTGGTGCGCCCAACGTGCTTGCAGTCGGTGCGTCCGATATCGCAGACAAGGTCGCAGTCTTCTCGTCGTTCGGCAAGTGCGTCAAGATCTTTGGTCCTGGCGTCCAGATCACGAGCGCGTGGATTGGAAGCAAGACGGCCAAGAACACCATCTCTGGCACGTCGATGGCTACCCCCCACGTCGTCGGTGTTGCGGCCCTGTACATGGGTGCGGATGCCAACCTCAAGACCGCGGCCCAGGTCTACAGCAAGCTGACCTCGACTGCTTCCAAGAACAAGATCAAGGGCAGCCTGCGCGGCTCGGCCAACCTGATGGTCTTCAACGGCGGTGGAAAGTAAATGCCATGAACAGACGAAATGTACTTATTGTAGATACACCTCTTAGAGCATGAAATAAAAAAAGAAGAGCTCTCGAAAGAACATCAGGCAAAAAGAGATGGGCGGAAGAGGTATATGTACAAGGAGGTGAATACAAACGCGTCATGGCGTCGCAGCATGAATCCAGGGAGGAGGTGAAGCAGTGCTTGAGTGGAGTGCAAATTAGTCTACCGTAGAAACGCTTACTCTGCGCTGCATTACTGCAGGCAGTGCAGGGGGTAGGGCGGCAGAGCTAACCTGTGGCTGTGTCCGCAGTTCCCCTAAGAGCTGCGGCTTCTGAACAGCGAGTCGCGGTATTAGGGGGAGGTTGGGAGTGAGGTGCCGGCACGGCGCAGTGATCCCGGCGTCGAGCATGGCAAGCGGTAACCGCGCTGAGGGGGACCGCCATGACTCTCGGACGCGTGCACGGGGGACGTGCAATGGAGAGGATGGCGCGTTCGACGGGTGTCGCCCGGCCCGCGGCGCTCCATCATCGCAGTCCGCATCATACTTCTTCTCCACACACCCCCCGGCACACACATTGCCATCAATCCCACTCCTCCTCTTCCTCCTCCTCCTCTTCCTTGCTGGCTCGTTCCCCAGAACCACCTTTCCTCCTCCTCCTTTCCCCCCTTTAAATTCCACCACCGCCTCATCACTCTCCATCGGAATCTCCTCG